GTATCATGTCCAGTTCTATCCTGATTTCTCTTTTAGACTAGGACATACCAATATTTTCAGTAAATGTAATGATGTGAACATTATGTAAGTGAAAATAATATTCTCTTTATTCAAAGTGGTTTAAGAATCAGTGTAATATACAGTATATACAAATCAAATACTGAATGTCCAATTTGTACATTTCAATGAGTTTTCTGCAAAAACATATCAGTCAATAAAATTCTTTTAATTTTCACATATTCTTGGAAGCTTATGTCTTCATTCATCCTGTATAGTGTTTGTTATGAAAAATAGAAATAAATATTTCACAGCATTACAGTTTGCATGACTAACATTGTCCTAATATGCTTATAACTTCCACAAAGACCTGCTTTGAGCTGATACTTAGTTTACAAACAACCTCCAAATAAGAGATTTCATTGCAAAAGTATTTGGTGTTGGCATATGGAAATGAGAAGTGTTTAGGATCCCCTGCCCCATGTAGATCCAGTAGAGCTCCACATAGGATTCAGAAATCTGTTTGTAAACCTGATACTGAAATTGGATATGCTAATTTGTTGGGCTAGAATTGGCCTTGTTATAAAAGAACCATACAGTTCTACCAGGTATATTGTGTGTCTTATTTTTGCTTTTAATTACTGAAAAATATCCAGCGCCCAGGAAAGCTGGGGACAAACAATGCAGATTTGAGCATGGCATTGTGTACAAGGGAGCTCTGTAAGCTGCCATACCTCTGTCTTCATCCTTTGCCTACTACAGCATCCTTGTTTCATTCCAATAGCATGCCTCTCTCAAGTAGAAGTACTTGTGCCAGATTAACTTGACTGCAAAACGAAAGAATAAACAACATCAGTCATAGTTACTCTTTGTTAAATAATTATTCTAGTATCTCCTACTGTCACTCTCTCTTTAGATCCAGTTATGCAACTACCATTTTTTACCTGCAACTTTGATGTGATAGGGCAGAGAACAGTTGTCTTTTATTTTATCTTCTTTTTTTTATGTAATAAGATGTATTGTGAGTTACCAATGGTGCAATTCACTTAGTTTATCTACTGTCACACTCACTAAGAAATGAGTCCTATCAGGCAAAACTTCTGTTTGAAATACAAGAAGTTTCTTTTTTTTTTTTTTTTGAATAAAGAAGCCTGAGGATGATTCTAAAAGTGTTCCAGCATGTGGAACAATTCTCATCGGTCTTCTTTATTCACAATTAGCACTACTGTAATATACCATGAACATGGCTTCTAAGTAGTTGTGAGCTTCCAAACTGTTCTGTTGTTGTAATCAGAGAGATAAGTAGGTATAAATTTATTTTAGATGAAAATCTGATCTTTAAAAGAATGCAATATATGAACTAATATATATGAACTATATTCCCTATGCCTGAAGAAGGGTGGCTGTGCCCAAAAGCTTGCCAATAACTTTTTTCCAACTACTCAGTTGTTCTAATAAAAGATATCACATTTAATCAAAGAACCTTGCCTTGCATATATAAACTAAGGTTTTGGGGTTTTGTTTCTGTGCTTGAATCCTTCCCTTCGCTACTTTGAAGTCCATGCTGCTTTTCCTCTGTTAACTTCTCAGGCAAATTCTCTTCTACCAGTTAATGATGTGTCATCAGTTAGTGACACAACATTGGTCATTTTATGTGTAACAATCATTGCCAGTGCCAATTTCTGGTAATCTGGGAAGCAGGAACAATCCCTGAAAGGACATTCAGTAATCCATGTTTGAATTCAATCTGTAACAGGGGTGTGGGTAGTAGCCGTGTTGGTCTAAAGAACCTTGTCTGATGACAGTGCAAAGGGTTTTTTCTTGAGACCTAAACTATGACTAGCTCTCCTAATGAGGCTACATCTGTGCTTTTAATGAATCTTCTCATTCATTCTGAATATACATCTTAAAATGTTATTGCCTTGCTTATGTTAAATAGACTGTAACAGTAGTAAACTTAACCTGTCATCCATAAATCTTAATTTTGTTTTGGCTTCTCGGTGGTGTTTTATGGTCACATGATTATCTGCCCAATTATTTCACCCCCTGAAACATTTTCTGAAACTTTCTTCTGCTCTTTTGTAATGAAGTCTGTGTACAGTTAGCCTGGTACCTTAGCTGTAGTATGGAACCTTTCCTCATGCAACTGGCCTTGCTCACTCTTTCACTGCCTCTCTTTGCTGGGTGTTTTGCAGTAGAAAGAGGTCAGTGGGGAGGAGACAGGTTACCTGCTAACTACACTAAATACCAATTTCTGATTCCACCTGGGGAGAAGTGCATCTCAGTCCTTGCCAGGTGAAAAAGGGCATCAATTTTCAAACTAATCACAGCCAAGGAACTCTTGTGAAATAATGGGCACAATGCCATATTGCCACTTTCTGCCACCCTGACAGATGCATATAGAGATAAATTTAAGATCTATACTACGGTCTCAATACTGCATAGTCTTCTTATGTATATGCATATCATTCTGACTTAAGGGCTACTTACGCTTAAAAATAAAGCATATCCCAGAACTAACGCACTGATCATTAAATTATTGTAACAATATCTTAGTTCAAGAGAAGGTTGTAACAAAATCTCTGTCATGTCAGGGAACCATAGGAGAGCTGCATAGAATGGCTTACTCTTGCCCTACTCAAGCACTCCTGCCCACACAAGCCTTTTTGTACACATGCCATTTTTGGAACTTGCTGAGATTTTTCTCAAGAAGAATTTAAAGGAGACTGTCTTAAATAGGACCTGAAGGGTTCTAGTGTGAACAGCCTGCCCCATTGCCTGCTGCTAGAGCATACTTGCACATTTATTAAGCTGAGCTGACCTTGCCCTCCCTAATAAGGTCTGTTCAGAGGGAATTTTTTTTTACTAAATCAGCTGATGCATTTGGTTATTCTTTTTGGTGTGAAATAAATACTGAATTAAGCAGGCAAAAAATGGATATACCCTTTATTTCTACAATAAATAAAACTGAATATATGAAACTCCTGTCCAGACTGGTTTTCATGTAGCCTTTTGGAACTATTTACAGAAAATAATACATTCCTGTTCTTTACACCATTCTGCTGAACTTCTAGTATGATTGCCAACAAATAGTGAGAGGCCTTGTTATCTAATCACTAGAACAGCAGACTGGGCCTTGGGAGACCCTGTGGCCTCCTGGATCTTACTGGGCCAGTTGCCTTTCCTCTGTGTGCCTCTTACCTATCTCTTAAACCAGAATAGTGATACTTACTTAATTTGTAAAGCACTTAGAGGTCTATGGATGAAAAGTACTTACAAGAACTAAGAAGTATTCACCATAGTCCAGCCGTTGCACAGTGAGGTTCAATCTTGGAATCTGTCTTGCAACAGCCCCCTTTAAACTACCTACACACTGCACAATAATTGTGTCAAGCCTCTTCTGGGATTTTGAGACTGGACTATGCTTTCCAGCAAATTGTCCCTGCTTATTTTTCATATTCCAAAACAGCTTTCCAGCTGACTGCAGCATCACTGTCTCCACAAAGTCCTCATTTTACAATCCTCATCAGTGCAACATCAAAGAGATGGAACAAGGTTCTCCATCCTGACCTGGCTCCTTTAAACCACTCAAGCCAGCAGAGAATTCCATCAGCAGCAAGAGTTCTTTCTTAGCTGATGTAAAGCCAGCATAAGTGCAGAGGCATGCAACAGACAGTGCCCTGGAGGTGTGAGAGAACAAAGGGCACTTGTGCATGACTAATTTGCAACTGGCATTTGGTCCCTTAAGGGACCAGAGCCAACTGGCAGCATTTTAGCTAGTGCAGATCAAACCCAGAGGCCTTGGGACTGATGGCAGAGGCAGTGGTCCCAGCTTCCAAACATGCCCCCTCTCGAGTTGGCACTCAGGGATGGTGCCCTGCTCACCCAACTGGTTATACTACTGATCAGACCACAATCAAGACATCACCTCCTTTCCTTCCCTGTCATACCCCAAGCAGATCTTTGACAGTAATGAATCTATGCCTGATGCTCCAAAATATATTCTCAATTTCTTTTGAACTAGCTTCATACGGGTTAGAGAAATGCCTTCTACTCAATAGGTGTTTCCCTAACCTACTTGTTAGGCTTCTTGTTTTGTTTAATGACTATAGTTCAAGGTCCATCCTGTGAGCAAGTACAATCAATACATCATATGACAGCTGCAGTATATCTAGTATTCATCTGTGTGTTTCAGTGTCCAGTGTCTCAAAAGGTTTGTGCATTGGCTTTTTAACCTTTTCACTTCCTCAGCATTTTAACAGCTCTTATTTTGTTAGAACTAAAAGAAAAGAAAGTTCTGTCTACACCTACCAAAAATATTAAATGGAATTAAGTAATGGTAAACACTACTTATTGCCTTCTATAGCTTTGCTAAAAGCCTGCACTGAAAGTTAATAGGACTTAGGCTTCTAAATGCCTACGTCTCTTCTGAAAACAAGACTTAAGCAAAGTCATTAAGGCATTTTGAAAATGTTACCTTTGATGGATTTTCAGGGTCCCCAAAGGGTAAGGTTAATTACCCTGGCTCTAATCAAACAGTGACATTCATATCAAACCCCTTCCTCATCCCGTTTTGAGACTCCTGAGAAAAATACGTGTACTGTTTCTGGGCTATAGTCAGTATTTATGCCATATGAACACCTGTACAGTAATGTGCTACTCCAGACAAGTAAAAGGTACTAGACTCAAGCCTTTAATGATGTGAAGAAATGTGTTGTATAAGTTAATTGGAGACCAATAAGTTGATGTGTTACAAGCTTATCAATACACTCTTAACTAAGGTCTTCATGTGGGAAAGGCTTGTGAGTGGAACCAAATAACTTTTCCACCTTGAAAAAGTTTTATCAAATAAAAATATCCTTAAACTCTAATTATAAAATGTTTGGGTAGCATTTGGGAATGTTACCATGTGCAATAGCTACTTCAAGAGAGAGTGGGAACATCCAGGTACCGACTCATCACCTGAAAGCATCACATTCACAAATAAAAAATCCAGTACACACTTTTGCAAACAAAAATATGTTTAATTGTATAGTTTATATCAATCTACAATACTGTTAATAAAATATACTAGTTTACTGCATAACTTATCGCTCTTCCAGTTCTTTAAGCAGTTCATCAAAGTGAGTAATGTACCACTTGGCTTTCTCCTTTACTTGTTTCCTGATTACATTTCCTCCAAATCCAATGAAACAGTCCTAGCAAAACAGAAATTAATAGGTATATATTAGCATAGCTGCCCACATGAGAAAAGGGGCTTTTCATGTAAATAAGTTACATTTTTTTAATATAATTTTCTAAAATACAGCAAGAAAAAATTCTCTACTCCCCAAAATCAGATTTCTTTTCATGTTTATTACCAGGATGGAGTGCATTAAAGGTTGATTTTGCACCACTGAAGTTTAATGGGAGTTTTGCCACTGACCAGTGAGAGCAGGGCCATCCTCTAACACCTTCTGTTATCAAGGTTGTTACTGCAATATGCGATCCTCCTGAAAAATATTTCACAACCTTGTACTCTTAATAAGCAAGAAGGCATTCACATCCCAAAATTATATCTATGCTATTTATTTTAGCTCTGTTTATCTCATTTGATAGATACCAAAATCAAACTTTAACCGATGGCTCAAATGATTAACCAAGAACAATCATCATTTCTAGATCCCAGAAAATCTAGTACACTGAAGGTGCAATGTGTAAATTTCCACTGCTTGCTTTTATCCTTAGATATAAGCCCTAAACAAATATTAAACTGCTGGTACTGGCAATGCACTTGCTTGCTGTCCAGGCACCTGTGCTGTTAGTTTTAGAAAGTACAGGTTTCCCTCAATTTATGCTGTACATGTGTTCCCAGAGAATGGCGCATAAATCGAATTTGCATAAAGCGAACCCACTTTACAATGTAAGAAATAGGAATAGGTTCCTAAGACCATGAGGAAGGGGGAAGTGAGGCTGAGACAAGGGAAGGGGTGCCGCTACTGGGGCTGCACAAGGCAGCAAAGCAGAGGGAACAGAGCAGCACTCACCTCAGCCCTGGCTGCAGCGGCCCCAGGAACAGTCAGCGCCAGCTGCCTGCAGCCACTGGGCTCCACCGTGCTCTGCCTGTCCCCACTCACCTCTGCTCCTGAGCTGCGCTGTGCCCTGGTACAGGCAGCTGGTGTCGGCTGCTCCCAGGGCCGCTGCAGCCACGACTGGGGTGAGTGGGGCCACAGCCCTTTCCCCTCCCCCCACAGAACTACCTGCTTGGGCAGGGGAGCATCTATGCTCATTGCATAAGAGTGAATTTACCTCGCATATAACAAATTATAGGTCTAAATATGCTCATTGCATAAGAGTGAATTTGCATATAAAGAACCCACATAAATCAAGGGAAACCTGTAACAGAATCCCCGTGCACTCTCCTTGTATAGCCATGCTGATTTTATAGAACTTATCGATCACACACACATACACCCACACTCTGGTTCTCATTAAGGTATGTGTTCCACTATCCTAGCAGAACAAGCATTGGTATTATAGGAAGATACTAGATTATAAAGATGGAATGGATTTAGACCCCTACCTCCCAGAGTATGCCATTTTATTTTGAAGAACCTTAATCTTCAGTTAGTTTTTAGATTATTTCTATTTTGTGAGAGCTACCATATTTGCAACTGTGTTACTGTTGCTTCATCCCCTTGGAAAACTACCACTGATGCAAAAGAGATGATTGCCCCTCGAGGCAGAGAGACAGGTCAGGCAATGTGTACACCAGAAAGGTGTTGGAGCATGCTTCCTAAGCACCACAGATTAGTCATTAAGGTTGGTATCTTAGCACTTTAAGTTGTGTGGGCTGAACCACCTTGATGCTAACACTGAAAGGTGAAATCATAGTGCTGCTTTGACAATAAATATGGCTTTATTACTACTTTCTGACTAGGTATACAATCTGGTATGCACGTGCTGTGCTTGATAAAATCTCAATTGTAAGAGGAAAACATTCTCAACCTAGAGATACTGGCAGTAGTAAAAGGCAAACAATTCTCATAGTGCTGTTTCAGGTTAAGAAACAACTAGGAATATTAAAAATCATCCTTAAGCAAAGTAAAATATTCAAATCGGTGGCTTCTTGTTGCTTTAAAAAAGAATTTTTTAAGGCAGAACACCAGTTCTTTAGTACTTACAGCAGGGGGACACGCTTCCATATCTGTCGCTCCGTCTCCAATCATAACTACATTCTTAAAGTTAAACTGTTCCTTCAGATGAGCAATAACCTTTCCTTTCCCACCCGATTCAGCTGTTGGTTGTGTCTCATCAAACCCTGCATATTCTCCTGAAAACATATTGGGAAAAGGTATTAGACACTAGGATTTGCAGTTGCTTCAGTGAGTTATGGAAAACTGTATCAAGGAATGACACTAGTGAACTTTTTAATAATCAAAAGAGATTCATACATTTTCTATTACCTTTTCATCAGGAAATAACTAATGTGGCCCCGAACATGATAGCTTCATGCACACACAACTCCCACTGAATTAAATGGAAGTTAAGATTGTGTTCAGAACTACAGGATTTGGCTTATAAACCTTATAGCTAGGACCAATGCAAAAAATACCTCACAAATTTATAAATATAGTGGGCCAGATTCTAGTCTCAATTACGCTGATATCAATCAGAAGTGATTCTGTTCAAGTATGTGATGTAAACATAGTATGAGTAAGAAGAAAATTAGCTAAGCACAATTCCGCTTAGGTACACTGATATAAAAACTACAACAATTCCACTGAGGTCAAGTCCACTTCACTCACTACAGTTTCTCTGGATTTACCCCAAAACCACTGAAAAAATAATTTGTCCCTAAAGCTATGTCATTAATAGGACAAAATCTTGAAACTTTGAAATGGCATTTTACTAAGCCACAGAAAAAGAATAAGAGAACATGATTCTTTGAGCTCAAACTGCTGAGTTATACACCTTTAATATTTCTTTTTCTTGACAGATCCCATGGTTTAAAAATTATTTTAAAACTGCTTGATTTGTTATTCTAGACACATAATAAACTGAACCAAATACCATTATCAGAATATCTCCCAATGCTTTTTTCTGTAGCTTGTCATACTGTGCTGTCACATCGAAAGCTACACCTTCTGATTCAGCTATATTTAATTTGTCTGGAAAGTGATTTGAACCCTTGTGTTTTTGCATTCACAGTCTCCCTTCCAGGTGCTGAGCATGAACTGGCACTGAGACTACACCATTAGGACACAGCCTGGACTCTAGCTGAGCAGCCTAATGTAACCCAAAATAATTGTATTTATAGTGTTTACTATTTCTTATATTATTATAACTTTTAAAATGTCTGTAAATGCACCAGTGGCCCCTAACTCTACCTGCTCCTATGGAAGACTGGGCAGTTTACTTTCCACATTCCTTCTTAGGCTGCTCTGCTAAGTCTTATGAGAGGTACTGTGCTACTTGAAGTGACAGTATTTGCAATGTGGAAACTCAGTAATTAGTATCTGGCCTGTGAACAATCAAACTCAGTCCACAGATAAGAAATAACCATGTTTCAATATGTTAATTTTTCCTTCAATTTTAATCTATGGTAGGTCGCTCACTATCCTACTTCAGGCTGAACTGAAAAGATGACACTAATAAATTGAAAAAGAAGATACCAGTGGACTCTTACCATTAAAGTAAAACTTCAGCCTATTGGCAAACACATTTGCTGTTGGAATGTTTAACTGCGAAGCAACATGCTCGACAATGCTCTGGAACCCTCCGGATATTAAGAAAACCTGGACACCTCGCTGATGAAGCCTGCTTACCAGCTCCCTTAAAAGAAAAGAGAAAAACCACCAATGTGAATTTCTATCAGGATCAAGGAACAGAAGAGAGGCAACTGTTCATGAACAAAGCTGCCTACATTTTACGTTATCCCTGCTTAGTCAGGATGTGTGCAGCATTTCAATTCCATGCCGTAGTGCTGTCTTATACTTTCCCATTCTCTTCTGCAAACTTGTGCATAGACTCTGCGTGAAAAGAGCTGTACAAAACTATATCATGGTGAGAGACGGACTAGCAAATAATTGCTCAGAGAAACAGTTGGATCAGAGAACTGTTTGTTTGCATTTTCCTGATTATGTCAATCTCCCTGAATAAATTAAACTGATCCAGCCCAAAAATACTTGATATAGGGGCAAGATCAGCAAAAAGAAATCAACAATGCAGCATCAGCTTGAATTTTAGGAGGCAGTGAGGCCCCAGGCTACACAGGAAATGTGCTGAAATTTGTGTAATGCACTAGTTTGTCTAGTGGGTTCACAGATTCTATTGCTGGACACCATCTATAGAAAAAGATGGTAACTATAGGAAAGGACTCAGCAGAAACAGAAGCAGAGGTGTAAGAATTTCAGATCCAGTTCTTGAGATCTAACATCTTGCAGATTCTGGCCTCTGGGTAAAAGACCACCAAATGGAAAAAAAGCAAAGGAGCAGAGCTAGTAGCCACAGCAGCAATGCTGAAATCCATACAGAAGTCACAGATTTTAAAGCAGAGAAGCTGTACAAAGAAAACCAAGAAAAGAGGGAGTGAAAAGAGAAGGATCATGTGATTCCAAACAAGAAACAATGTACTGTTTGTAATCACAGCCAGCAATATCCTCACAGAGATGAAAATGTGTTTCAGCTCAAGAAGGAAAATGCAGATGCAACATCTTCTAAAAACAATGTTTATGTATTAAGAGTATTAGAGCCTTACTAGATCTGTGGACTGGAGGACAGTTTTATAATAAAGTATCTATTTTCAGTCATTTACTGATTTTTGACAAAAATACAAATTTTAATTTAAAATAGGTTACTGCAATGGTAGGCAACCTTTTGCAGCTGCAGGCCAAGTAGCCACCGCTGCCCTCACTTGGTGCTTCTCCCCACAGCAGCACGGGGAGAATGCCTGCAGCCAGTCCTACCCCATCACCAAAGCCCCACATCCACATGCTGGATCCAATGGCTCCATAGGCCAGTTCTGGCTTGTGGGCCTATGGTTGCCAACTCCTGGATTACGGGACCACAGAATCATAGGGTTGAAAGAGACTTCAAGGGTCATTTAATTAAACTCCCTCACCCCCCTGCAAAGCGCAAAAATGCATTTTGCAGGGGGGGAGGGGAGTGATCCAAATATATAAGTATACACGTCTATAAATGCATAAATATACATTCTTAAAATATTCAGTGATGTTAGCATTGAAGAATGGCAGCCTCTACATGGGCCCAATCCTGAGATTTGAGTGCCAAGAGCCCTTCAAAGGACTGGACATGAACACCACCTCCAGAAAACACATGCCTAGGGCAACAACAATGCAAGTTTCCCCATTAACATGCCACACACCTTACCTAGAAGAATCACTTCTAGATGTTACAGCATAGATGTCTGTCAACATGGATGCCCATTAACACTAACCATGATGGCTTTTTTCTGAAATGGATACCTGTCCATCTGAAATTAACTCAGCCCACTGTAACATTCAAATACAAACTTCATATCAAGTCAAGTTAGTCCCAAGGCTGCTGTTACCATCGGGGCACCTTAGATGCTGTAATAACCCTCCTAGGTTAGTTGATCTGCTTTGCATCATTGCTGATTCTTTGGGCAGAGTGACCTGGAGGCACCCATCTCCTCTCTAGGTATGGATGGTCATTGGCTCACAAGGAGCTCATCTGCCCTTTGACAGGCCTTGTTTTTAGTCCTGCTGGGTGTCTACACGCTGTCCTCACCCAATGGGAGTACTGGTTTAGTCTCTGGCAACCCGACCATAGAACAGGCTGTACTGGTTTACATGGTACCAGATAGCAAACCAAGAGAGGCCTGGTCTGACAAGGGAACTTCATATATGATATATAAATCAATCAGGAAAATATTCTGTGCCAGATCCTCAGGTGGTCTTATTCAGTTGACTTCTATGAGCTCAGACCTTCTTTGGTTTTGGAAGGCTTTTTAATTAGTTCATTTAAAGTTCATCTTACCTTATTCCTGGTGTTAGATGGGGTGGATGATCCGATATTAATTTTTGTACTTGTTCCCAAGAAGGGCGTATAAGTCCTAGTCGTGCCGTTAAAGCTGCTTTGAATGTCACAGAACCTCCCATTGCTCTGCGGGTCCTAATTAGTGATCCAAATCATGAAAGTCAATTATAGTAGCTAGGAGATAAGTAGCTAGGAGATATGAGTTTCACTTCAACTCATAAGGATTATTAGTTGAAGTGAAATACCTGGGAATTACTCATGAATTTATTAGTTCTAGATTATGTTATCTGGACATTTCAATGCAGCATAGCCTGATGAGCTGAGAAGTTTGCACAATATTTAGAAATTGCTGCTAAATGCTTACAATCAGAGACAAGTCTGAGCTGAAAATTTTAGATCCAGTTCTCAAATCTTCCTCAAAGTTTTATGTGGAGGTTTAGACTCCAATGTTATCCCTCTTAGACCCCCCAAAATTGCCAAAGACTTGTTTTTCCTCCAAAAAGATGAACCAAGGTGTACTACTGCTTCGCAGAGTTTAAACAGCCCTTGGGGCCTGATCCAAAAAACTGAATGAAGTTAACTGAAGGATTCTCACTGGCTTCGATAATCTTTGGATTGGACTGCGTATCTCCAAAATGTAAATTATTCTGATATTCATTAATACTATTTATTAGAATGATAATCTTCTTTGAACTATCGCAATCACAAACAAAACACCAGGCTAAATTCATCCTTGAAATACGTGCATAGTCCAGGAGTAAATCTGGTCCTTTTTTATTCCCGACTACAATAATTCTGAAATTAATAGCAAAAGAAGTATGCTTACATTTCTGCCACAGCATCCCCAACTCCACAGAACTTTGCCAGTTCATCAATGCCTTCTTCTTTGATGACTGTACTATCCACATCAAAGCACACTGCATCTGCATTGCAGAAGATTTCCTTTATCTCCATGAGGGAGGCCATCCTTTTAGGAATCTTTCTACTGTAAGAGAGGATAAGTTCCCTCTGTGAGTCACTACACTGTACTCTGTTTTGAGCCATCTAGGCAACTGATCTGTCACCTGCAGCTGACAGGGAACAGAGCTATGCAGCCAGCCTTTATAAACAGAAGTGGGCAGTGGTGGGGATTTGGCTTAGTTGCTGATTTGCTGTCTTCTGTGGCCGCCTGCAGATGTCCAGTCTGCATTCAAGGTTGGAGGTGAGCAATTGAGATTTGGCTTAGTTCCTGATTTGCTCTCTGCAACAGCTGCCCACTGACATTCAGCCAGAGATCAAGGTTGTAGCTCTGGCTTCTATAGAACCAGCCATTGGAATCCCAACTACAACGGAGGGCTGGGTTTGTGACTCTATATTTCATCTCAACCTCACAGGTCTGAAGGAATATGACTACATACAAAAGATTTGTAAAAGAGACTTAGGATAAGACCCATGATTCAGAGGACAGTACAAGAAACCCCATCATAGTCAATCAAGAATTACCCTGCTCATGGTAGAACTTTCTGTCTAATCCGCTTAAGGTTTATATTGGTTGATTTATACTCTGCACCACAAGGGTTTAGATCCCTTATTATATCCTGGTCAATGGAACTGTTGATATCCTTACCATTTACATGAAAGCCTAAACCTTTTCTAAATCCTACTGATTCCTAATTGGCAAGTTTTGGTTAATTTGATTTAATGCATCAAGATATAACAATATCATGACATAGCGATTTTTCCAAGAGTACTAAATTTAACAATAGGAAAGTGTAACTCAGCTAAATCAGAGGGAAGATGCAGAATTACTACTAAAACAATGTTTTCTTTCCTTTTGTATCTGTTCACTTGGCTGTGCAGAGTATATCTTGTTCTGCAAATCAGAAACACAATGTTTATAAATGGCTATTAAAAACATAAGAATATTTTCCTGTCCTCACCCTAAGCATCCCATGCTTTTCTCTTCATAAGCAAATCTAATGTGTAATTTAGCAACCTGTCTTTATATAGGAAAGAGACTCAGTGCTATGACTTTCTACAAAGTGCATTTCCAGATTGCTGCTGGAATTTATTTGGCTGGTTTGGTTTAATCACCTATGCTATTTTCTGCGTATCTCTACATATAATTAACCAAGTAGCAGGTTCCCTCTTCTTTTTTGTTTCAGGAGAAATGTTTTGTCACTTTGCATGATGCTATCCAGCTTCATCTTTTATTTTCTTCCCACTAAGCTGTATGTAGATTTGTCTGCTTCCCATGTATTCAACTGTACATAGATGGTAAAAGACCCTACAATGGCCTACTTTCCAGAGGGTATCTATTTCTTTCTCTTTTAAAACAGATCCTTAAACTATTTTGGGGCAAAGACCCTGTCTCATAAAGTTTTTTGTGAAACACAACCTATGTTTATGGGTCTGTGTAAATAATATATAAAATAATCATATTATCTGAGAATGGAACATAAAAGAAACCTGGCACTATGAAAGAGCCATAAGCATAAAACAAAAACTTCTTTGTACAATCTATAGCTTGGTACTAAGCTAAAACCTGCCAGTGGGTGGATGTGTGACTAAATTGCAAGTTTACTCGTTATCAGCCTCAACTATACTGACTCCAGAGCTGTCTGGTCATGCTTGCGCTGGAAAGTTTTGCTGTGCCAGATAAGGGGCCTTTGACTTCAGGGCATGGCTGGAACACCATATGCTCTAATGTGATTGCATAACAGAATTAAAAAAATAATAATGCACTGACATTTTTGGAGTAGCATGCTGTTAAAATGTTTCCAGTCTACTACGAAACCATGAAGTCCACAAAACATTCAGACCTGGGTATAGTTGCCAATATTAAAGATTTGTCCTACTGGCCAGATGTCATTAGCATGACATTTGCGTCATGATGTTCCAGCATTGATCTATCATTATGCAAAAGTATCACATTGCATGTTAGCAATCTGAGGTTGCATTGCAACATCACCACATAATGATGCAATATTATCATACAGTGACAGGACACTGCCATGTGATGACTGCACGATATAGTCTAAAATATATTTAAAGATACGCTTCCACAAATCTTACCTATTCTGAAAAAAGTGGGTTCAATGGAAACTCTAATTATGGGTGCCCATCTTATTCTGATTCATTCTAGGATTTCTTTTTCTGAATCTTTCTTGCAGCAGTGGGACCATTTCTGCCGATTCCATTTTGATGGGCAAACTTATAGGGTAAGGAAAAAAACCCCACAGATGCCAACTATGAAACCACGTTATTACATGCAATATTTTTTCCAATGTGTTTTCAAGCTATGCTTCACAGAAACATGAATAAGGTGTCCCAAAAGGACATGTTGGTATGGAAGAATCAGGAGAAACTAGAAGATGCAGGAGTTGGTGCGTAAAAAAAAGCTGTAGTTCCTGAACAACAAAATGAGTGAAAAATCATCTTTCAGCTCATAACATCTGGGATTTGAGTCCTGAAGAATATTTTGGCCATTTTTGGCTGATGATCAAAAAATGTAGTTGTGGAACATCGGGAAGCTAATATTGCAGGAGTAAAGGAAGAAAGGAGGGGAAAGGGGATGAGTGCTATTTGGAGGGGTTCTTCGGTAAATAGGATACAGTTTTGTGGCATGGCTGGGGGCAGATGCATCTGCACTTGAGCTAAATGTGAGCTCTTTCCCCTTCAACCTCCTGCTTGCAAAACTCTAGGTGCTGCCCTCAGCTGTGTTAGGATATTTAATTTCAAGGGGCTGGACTGCTTTCACAAACTCTTAAGCCATTTCCCCAGCCCTCATTGTGGATTGGAGATTAAACTAAATCTGTGATTGGGATTCCTGTGATTGGGAATGCACAGTTAGCAGTAGAATATCAACATCACCAAAAAAGAGTGAGTTGCTTCTTCCCTCCCATGCCCAAACACCACTGGACCCAACTCACCCAGTGATTTTGCAGTACCTGCTTGGAAACTTGCTTGTGGGCCATGCTCTATCAGTTAAATTATTGTTAAAATAGAGCATTAATATTTATGGGGGACATGCAGACAAAGAAGTAAGTAGATAGAGTTGGGCCCTCTTCTTATTCTTCTATAATCGCAATTTCCTAAGATTGATTTCCTATACTTGTGGGATTATAAACCCAACCTGCACAAAGAAGGACTTGCTGGACTGGTTACCCACATGAGGTGTTGTCTGGGAACAGATGAGCATAAACACCTGGAAGTTTTATAAAAACTCTTCTGCATGGAAAACCTCAAAAGGATGTGGGAAAAGAGTAGAAAACTATCAAACTGTCCAGGAGAAGATGCTGAGGTGTCTGACTTGATGCCAAGGCTAGGGACAGAAGTTACACATTAACTGGTTTAAGTGATCAGAAACTGATTTAAACCTGTAACAGAACAGAAGTCCAGTGCACATAAACCAGTTTCAAAATAGCTGAAACCAGTTTGAGATAAACCTGGTTGAATGCAGTATCAGACTTAACTGGTAGTTGGGATTCCTCCCTCCATCCCCTGGGGAAACCCAGCCGGGGTTTGCCTGGCCTGGGGCCCAATGGTAGAGGCGCTGGCAGACCCCGGCTGCGGTCCCCCAGGGGGAGAGGGAAAGGAAGGGGGAACAAACCCCCTCCCTGTCCCCTTCACTTCAGGGGGCCATGCCAGCTGGCATCTGACCACACCCCTGCCTCTGCCACTGCAGCAGTGAGGGGGAGGAAACCGTGACATGGGCTGCTCTGCCCCGGTCATGCAAACTCCAGCTCAGGTCCCATCAGTGGGACGGGATGGAGGGGAGAATTAAACCCCATCTCTGCTAGCTTCATGCTGCTGCTGGGGCTGGCCACATCCCCTGCTGTTCTAGCGGGGAGGGGAGGGGTGGGAAATTCCTGGCAAGGGCTGCTTCCCCCTCCAGGCACACCCCAGCTGGGGTCCCTGCAGGCCAGGGTTGGGGTTTAAACACCTCCCCAATCATACTCAGCCTGCCCAGGCCTGGCCATGCCCCTTGTCAGCACAGCTTCCCTGCAGCCAAGAGCTCACTCCAGTGCCCCCCAGCTTCTAGCCTGAGCCACTGCAGGCACATGCCTGCATTTCTGAAACCAAAAGTGAATACGGTATCTATTCACTTGCAAATTGGTTCAGCCCACACAGGTTAGACTGACCTGCAAAGATTGAATCAATTCAGGCTCAGGCTTTTTTAATGTCTGTACTTAGCCCAAGGGCCCAGGACCCAGGTTGTTGTGCATTCTTCTTAATCTGAAAAAGATTAGTTGTTTTCAGCTAAAAAGAATATAGAAATGTAGATGCATTGAGGTTGTGCGTGCTGATCAGGAACAAAATCTCCATAACCAAGATTAATTAGTATTATCTTCATGTGGAATACATAGATAACCCAAACTGAGGAGTCATGCCACTTCCCTACCACTTGTCATCAGGAAAGAGGAAAGGTGTCCTATTATGTTATTTCAGCTCTGGAAAGACTCAGTGTAACATGTTTGATACATAAATGGAAAAAGGTTATTTATTGTAAGATGAAACGTAGAAAATGTGAAAGAGGAAAAGTAAAGGGAAAAGGAAATCAAAGAAGACAAGAGAAGAGAGTAAGGGAGCAGAGAATGAGAAATGTGAGCAAAAAGGAGCAGCGGTGGAGATAAGGAAAGCTAGAGATGGAGAAAAGAGAGGAGAAAAAGGAAATGTTAAGTATGAGAAAAAGGTGGGGGAGGGAAACATATTTTCCCAAAACAAAACCTTTCTATATCTGGATTAGGGAGTGTGTTCATTGGGCCATCCAGAAGAAAGCCCTGGCAATTTATAAATGGGTTGTGTTTCATAACAGAGAGGGCTGGAGCCAGAGGATTAAGACTAGCAGTTATGCAAAGCCATGTGCTTGAAGAAAATAAGTGAATTACTTCAGCTTCGCTGGCTCTTCAAGGAAGAGCTCCTTTTACATGATTAAAAACAGTAACACCTGCAAAATACGAAAAATACAACTCCAAGTGAAAAATGACAATGATGTTTAGAAGC